AACACTCACGGCTAAATCCTTGATGGGATAGCATGAGGCATAATAAACGCCTATATTATGACAACTAGTTTTAGTCCCAGTTACGTTTCTTACGGGCAAGCCTATTGACGTCAAACGAACACTTTGTGCTATATGGGACTAATCCCACCCACACGCCCACCACTGTAACTCCTGTACACCAGGATCCACAGCAGTGACCCACGAACACACCGAGTTATGACACTCGGGAAGTCCCAGGAAGAAAATAAACTGTCTGGGAACCCGCAACGAAATTAATCAGAAGAAAATTGGAGGAGTTGGAAATACAGTAAATCCACTTCCCTCCTTAGCAAAGCGGGAGACAAAATGAGGTAAAATGGGCATACACCCTTTTAAACAGGAAAGCACCACGGCCACAAATATTACGGGTCCTACGTGAGCTATGTTTGTTTTCTATAATATGTATGGCAGAATCGCCTAAACGCACGGAAATTCACCCTAGTTGACACAAGATCCCCATAGTATACCGCCAGAGATGTCACCTGCAAGCTATTCAGCATTATATTACGTTCATTATACCAAAGACTACATTCCCAGACGATATGATGAGCAGACTGTTCATAGTGAGAGTCAGGTGTTGAGCATTGACACAATGGTGACTCGACTAATTTAAATGAATAAAGCTTGCTCTTAAAGTGCTATTGCTTTGTGCTATATGGGAAAATTTATAATACATACCTACAATGAAAGGGAAGGTAGACAAGAAAGGAAGGTACCTAATGCCGACCATCGCCGCCCATGAACATCTGCAACTCAGGATTCACAACCGCGTTGCCGGCCTTTTAGGAAGGAGTACGTTATTTTCTTGAAAGTTTGAAGGTCGTATCAGTACAATAAAATATGACCCAATATTAGATATAAGGTAATGAATTACAAATGTCAATTCAAATAACTTTGTAATGTCTTGAATGTTAATAATGCCTATTCAGATTAAATCAGAAGTTCATTCTAATAAATCTTTTATTTCCACTGCTGCATTGAACGTTCCATTTACAGAATATTTAAGGAGGAGAATCTCTTGTTAGTGAACACAGAACTGTGGTTCTATTCGAACAATATACGACAAATTATTGTGGAATAGTGAGGAGCCAACTTGATTTATCTTCAGTTGCGCTTAACTGGATTCTCCTTCTTTTTAAAGAATTTGTTGTTCTTGTTCTATTTAAATTTAAAGACATTATTAGTGTAGATGAAAAAGAAGATTCGAAGAAGCTTGGTGTGCTGATCGAGGCAGTATATCATTCCGGCCCACCGCCTTCAACCCTACAAGGCGCAAGTCCGGCTGCATATGGAATACTGTTCTCATCTCTATGCAGGGGCACCCCAGTACCAGTTTTTCCTCCTGACCGCATCCAACAGAGAGCGACTCGATTCGCGACCTTGGTGGAGCTTCACTTTGCATTCTCTGAAGTTTATATCAGAGAGAGATATATCAGAGAGAGAGAGAGTGCTCCAAGGAATTGTTCGGACTAATACCAGCCGCAACCTTCCTCCACCGTTCCACAAGGCAAAATTTTCATTTCCATCACTTGAAATATTTAGCACTCCACGCAGTATTTCCGGGCCGATATGACCTTCAAACCTTTAACAAAAGAGCGTACCTCAAAGGTCGACAACGTGCGTGTGACTCCTGAGTTGCAGGCGTTCATGGGTGGCGGTTGTCACTTTCCATCAGGTGACCCGTCTGTTCGTTCGCCCCTGTACCATAAAAAAAACCCTTCCAAGCATATATTTCTCCAGCGTTCAATATGAAATTTTGGGGGGGCCGTTGTCAGGGGTACAGTAAAAGCAAAAGTGTGTTTTTCATCCAAAAAAACGTCATAAGTCCTAGTCCCACCTACTCGTCATAAGGGATACCTCATTTTAAAGCAATTATTTACGTTTACACGGACTACAGTGAGAGTATAAGCTTTTTTTTATGATAAAAATAATTATTCATCACAACAAACTATCAGGATTTTCCTGCTAAATCGAGTTGCGTATACATATATTTGATCTATTACGAATGTTTTTCAGAGTTTGCACATCCAAATAAATATTCTTTATTGTATTGTACTTTATACTATAAAAAAGGCTTTCAAAATATAGAAAAAAAGTTTAAAATATTCTTCATCTTGTTCAGACTATCTAAGTCTGAACAAGATGAAGATGATTCCTACAATAATTAAAAAAAACGGACATTTAGTTTCTCCAAATTAATTAAGAAATGAACAGTTCTTTGCATTTAGTATATCGTAGCGTGACCTCATGGCAATAGCCTTGCTATAATGAGGGCATGAATCATACGTATCTAACATTTTCCTGGTTCTATATAATTTAGCTCTTATCATTACCTTCACAAGAATCATATTGCTATAATAACAATTTATGTCAGCTTCCGCATCAACAATGATATTCATACTAAAAACTTATTGGTTTACAAAAATAAGTGAAATATAAGAAAATGGATTGTTAATTTTATAGTTAACTAAATGGCCGCCTGTGTGGTGACTTATTAAGAATACAGAGTGTCTTCATCCCATGGGTGTCGTAAGAGCTGACTCAGAAAGCAAACTACGCCGGACAATAGCACTGCAAGGAAAACTTTTCACAAATCCTATACCAACCCATCTGGCCAGAGTGGTATAGTAGGCCAAAACCTCGTTTCTAATGAGAAGCCTATGCCCAACAGTACTGTTGATGTAATGTGGACACTGCAGTAAGATTTATCATGATCGAACTAACAAAAAGATCAATTTTTTTACTATAAAACCACATAGAATTCAATGACAATTAATGTTTGTAAAGAAATACTCAAATTATCTTCTCTAGGTGAAATCCTAATCCTCATGTAAATTCATGATCCGTTACAGGTGTGGCTGAATTGTAGAATGCCCTCGAGATCATTGCAAGACTTTATTCAACAGGTAACAGCTTCACTTTTAGGACAGTTACATCTGCCATTAGAAAAGAAACATTAGTTTATTGAAAGAAGGATGCAAGGATGTTAAAAATTGTTCCATATGCATGTGCAGTAGTTGTATTATGTTACCTGTACCACTGAAGTCAGTAATTGTAGAACATTTTAGATAACTGCTACTACTCAGAAGTCCCTTAGTTTCTAGATAAGCAGGCACATAAATCATAGTACATTTGCATCAGATCTCATTCCAGCCAGTCCTATATAAAGAAATATTAGTGGTTTAATAAAACAAAGTCAAGTTGTTATGTTTTCGTTTATTTTGAGAGAACAAAGTACAATTATTATAAGATTTTGATATCATTAGAATAAGGAATAAATACAGGTATACAAAAAAATTGTTCAGTCCATCAGCAATATTCTAGAAGTTATAACAAAATAAAGCAATTAAGGTAATATTTTCAGATTGACCGAGGTTCATGCTAGGTATGTCTATCACATTTTACAGAACATAAGGTTTTATTTTAAATTTTGTAACTAGCCTTAAAAAGCATTTAGAGGTGATAGGGGTGTTAGGCCGTTAGCCAACTGCAGCTTTCTAACATACATACTTCTGTTTGTCTGTCATTTACACAGTTGGTTTAAATTTTATAGTTATATGGACCATTACAAGTGTACATGACTATGTACCTAGGAGAAAAGGCAGATAGATGGAAGCAGCAGAGTTACAAGGATGGAGCATATAGGACTTGTACAAACATTGAACACTGACATCACTTTATTTCAACTTTTCACTCAAATTATTGGATGTTTGTAGTTAAAAACTGTAAAATTGTATTAAAATAATGAAAAGAAACTATAATATGAGTATTACACTAATTAATTTTAGCAGAAAAATATAAAAATAAAATGACATTTTTGTTCAACTGCTGTAACATATAAGGTATACATTTCCGACGCACATACATTATTATGTTTTTAGGACGTGAAATGGCGTCAATACAATATTATATTATAATATTTATACATGGGAGTAGCAAGGCACAGGATGCGGGAAGCCTATGAGGCCGGAAAATCTTTTCTCTATACACGTCGGTGCTTTCTAAATACATAATTAAAGTATAACGCGCACGCTCTCTCCTAAACTGACAGAAACAGCAATAAATTTCGATTTTTATTTTACTTTTTATAGTTTATTCATAAAATTACTGATGATTCGAATTATTTAAACGAGAAACATATTTTTGTAACGAGGTATTTTTTTATTGTGGCACTGATGTCATAACGGGACAGCCCAGGATCCGGTGCCACAAAGCATATAAAAATTTCCACTGCCTGTACGGTACCTAAGTGAAAGTAGGCAGACTGACTGACTCCTTTGCAATAAGTCACTATTATAAAAAGAAGAACGGTGTAGGTACATGTTACGTGTGTATGTGTCAGTGCCGGCTTAGAAACCGTGCACTTTCAGCTGTTCAGGCTTCACGAGGCCCGATTTGGTCAGCCACTGGCAAATGTTCTCGCGCTGGTCGCCCTGAAGTTGCAGCACCTCGCCGTACTCCGGGTGCTCCACGACAGTTCCGTTGCACGCGAACTCCTTCTTGCATGCCCGCACTATCTTCTTCAGGTCATATTCCGATGAGAGGCCTTGCACCGTTGTCAGCGTCTTACGCCCGTTCCGCTGTTGGATCCGGACGTGGACTAAACCATCTTGTACGTCGTCTTCCGAGCTTTTGATAGCATCGGCGAATGGGTCGAATGTGTTCAGATTCTGGATGGACATACGATTGAACGTAAGGTCTCTTGGTTTCACAAAACGCTGCGATACTACGCACGTACACAAAGCAACTGTCACTGATAACACGCGGTGGTGTGTGCTCGCAAACAAACGACCAATTTACGCAAACTCCAAAATGTAATGGCGGCTACGACCGAAAAATGGAAATGTCACGCGGAGGCGGATATCGATCAACACCATAGACAAGCGGATGTTCATAAAAATAAATCCCTTTATACACTAGTCCAACATACTACAGACTTTTCTTTTTTAATTTAATCTAATTTAACCTTTCAATTGTGCGTATAACTTTGGAACGTAGTCGTCATATTTAGCGACATAGAAATTGCCTGCAACAGGAGGACCAAATTTAAATTGGTCAGCGAATTTGTTGATGGAAAATTTGCCTCGTTTATCACCAGAATTATTCGGTAATTTTTGTACTTTAGAAAAATCACACTTCCCAGGTTGCTTGTACACCAGAAAGACATAACGATGTAAGCCAGTTCCTTTCGGTGGTCCGGAACCGATATAATCAGATAGTATTTCACCCTTACTCATTTCTGAGCCAAAAATGTTTCCCACAAGCCAATGATGCCACTCACGAAACTTGGGACTTTCACGGCTAGGGGCATCAGGATCTACCATAGCCAGTGTATAATATTGTTCATCTTTAGCTGCCCATTTGACTGTCGGCTTATCCTTCACCTGAGTTGGAGTTAGTTCTTTTCCTGTTGTAATCGTAGCTCCACTAGGGTATTGTACATTTAATATTTCGGATGGTGCTATTTTAATTACATCAGGCACAATACAACTTTCTTTAAACAAACTTTGAAGATCAGACATCTTCTCAGGAATTTCTGAGTCGTATTCTAAGTTACTAATATACCTTCGGCATGTTCTAAAATATTTTAAATTACTTGGTCTGTTCAACGATCTTCCCACGGCAGGATGCAAATTCACGAATAGCAATAGGACTTTATTGAAAATCATTGTCAATAACTACAGTTACTTAGTAACGGTTAGCTCTATGACGTGACATTTTAATTTTTATTTGACTAATTTTACCTGAACAAATAGAAATTAAAAACTGTTGTTATGACTGTTGTCTATGATAACACCGGAACACAGATTAATAATACCTACGACTGACGCACAAATTCACGTTCGGATTATTTTAAGATTAAGATTATAGTTAAGCATGTAACATTCATTCCGATGAACTATTAGGCATGGATACGCTGGAATATTGGTTGAGTTGGTATGATATGAAACACAAGATCGAAGGAATACAAACCAAAAGAGAATACAATCCTACATCGCTTTGTCGTAAGTGCTCTTTGTTTTTGGACAGTCAGTATGGCTCACATTATGAAATTATTCCTGACATCGTGTACGAGTAAATTCAAAATTTGTAATAATGTTTCATTTTGTACATTGAACCTTTGTAATTCTGACTGACTCAAAAGAGTTCCGTACAACATGAGGCTCGTATTAATTCTTTAAGAGGGTCACCAATCGCCTACAAAATCCATAAATTATTATTGAAATTAAAATCTTAAAAAAAAAGTCATCATCTAATGGATCCCACTGGCTTGGTAGAAACGAAACTAAACTAAATTCAACAACGTATGTATTGAAAAAAAATATATTTGAATAAAATACCAAAAAAAGATGCTAGCACAAATAATAAGTATCTGTAGAGCAACACGGGTAAACAGGCCACCAGTGTTGCCAAAATAGTGGATTTGCCATTAAAACTGGTGGTTTTAATGGCAAATCCACTTTTTTCACTTTTTTGCAAGTTTTAATGCACTAGTTATATTACTTAACTACTAGTTATGTACTACTACTAACACTAGTTATGTAAATATTGCTTTTCAGAACTAGTGGATTTTTCTAGTGGTAACAAAATAAATAATATTTCGGACATCTTACACGCAACGTCATTTAGTGTCAAACTAAGTAGATCTTGTACTATGAAAGCTAGATTGACTGATAGAATACATATATGTACAATTTTTTTTGTAAAAACATGTATGTATTTACAAAAAAAGTATATCCAGTTTATGCAATATTATGTATAGAAAACATCCAAGTTCCGAACCAAGTATTTGCAGATTACATAAACATTTGGTCCGACCCGGGAATCGAACCCGAGACCTCAGCACAGCAGTCGCATACGCTACCACTGCACCACCGAGTTGTTGTTGTTATATGTAAGGTTATAGAGGACTTAAGAGATGATGTTGAAAGACGAACTGTGAGAACTGTTTGTGTACGTAAACCTCAAGAACCTTTGATAGGAGGTAATGATGATTATTGGACGGAAGTGCTTAGATAGAGAAGGATTATCGATTTTAGGCAATGGGATGATGTAGGCTTTGTCCTAAAGAGAGGGGAAGGTTCCGGAGTCGAGAGAGAAGTGGGATATAACTAGGAGGGCATAATCCAGAATACAAGTAGTAACTATCATCCTACAGCTAAAGTAATCACAGCCCATTTAGCTAGAACGGACAGACACAATGATATTTTTGATGACCCCAGAACGAAAGAACAGACCAGAGAAAATTCTAAGTTGAGAATATTGAGTCTGGAGAGATTGTTATAGTTTTAGGGTACAACATTGATGGTCCCGTTGAAAAGCAGAAGAGAAATAAAGTTTGATATCATTAAAAAAATGGTTGTTCAAAACTCGGTCCATTGCTGTCTACCAAAGTTCAACGTGTTAAGGATCTCCCACATACTGGAAGTATTGCACTTCAAAAATGCCCAAAGAAGTTTCAGGTTTAAGTAATTAGCAACTTATGCTATTAATCTCTTAATACTGTCTGATTCCAATGCCGAGTTTAGAGACTATTTAGCTGAATGAATGTAAGAAAACACAAGCAGAGAAATAAAATAAAGTGAAATCTTTCATATGCTGAGAATATGCTGTGCAAACCACAGGTTGGATTGAAAATGTTGCAACAAATATGAAATTCTAATAAACACAAGGGTTAGTGATAACTTCTCATCAGCTAGTTTGACCTGTATTATCACATCAACAGCCTTTAATAGTCCACTGCTGGACACAAGCCTCTCCTTAGAAAGGAGGTTTTGGCTTTACACCACCACCAGCTAGTTTGACCTGTATACCATACAAGAAACAACCAACTCAGTCATTGGCACAGCTATTTTCTATATATACCAATTAATTCCTGAGTCTAGTTTATCTGTTTCACATCAGTACAGGTGGAGTTTTAACATAGGTGGTAATATACAAGCTAAGAGTTCAATAATAAATTTCAATTAGGGAGTAGGAGAGCCATGCTTCTGCACGAAAAGGCCGGCCTTAAAAAAAGGTTAATTTTTTTATTAGAATTGCCAACAGTTAACACACGTTCTTTTATTGTCATATTTTTTTGTCACCATTTTAGAAATAATCATTTACAGGAATAAGATACAACTATATAAGATAGAAGACAGGGTAGATATTCCAGTAACAGGCTGAATTAAATGTCTTTATATGAAATCTGGGGCAAACAAGCAAATAAGTCACCTAATATTGAGCGACTTTCGCTGCTCATGGACATCCATAACTCATAATTTCATGACTTTATGATTCTTAAGTGTGTTGTTAGCTTTTGAGGAAGGAAAATACTCTTTGCTAGAAGGTTTGAAGGCCCCATTGATCTGGAAATACTACAGGCTATAATTTGAGCCAGGAAGTTTCTTAACAACTGAGGTGGTGGAGTGATAATTATCAAAGTGATATGCATAGAAGCTGCAGAAAGTATTAATTGAACCAAAATCCTCGGATCACACCCCGCAATACAAGCGCTAGAGAATGCAGTTCAGAGGGTATTGATTCTCCATTTAACTACCACCCTCCTTTTCAGACCATAATCAATGATTTTTGGGATAAAAACTATTCTATTTACTTTCCCGCTAGATAATGCAGAGTTGTTTTAAATAAAAGTCTGATTTGCAGGTTTTATGCTAAGACATTGTAAGATCAAATGCTATCTACCTAAACAGACATCACACACAAAGACATCAACACTTAATATATAAAATATAGTTATATAGTATAAAATATTAGTTAACTTTTCTATAATTAAAAGTGATAAGCTGTATAGCTACATTTCCTTAGCCTTTGCTCTTGACAATATGGCCTCTGCCGTGAGCGGGAATCGCAATTTCTTTCCAACACCATCTGAGTCCAATTGTGCAAGAACTTCATGAGTATTTTGTAATTTCTTTATCAAATCATCAATGCGCTTCTGTTTATCAACGATTTCGACTGAAAAGTCATCCATATCTTTGGAGGATTCTGGTTCTTGACTCGGCACTGTGGTTTTTGGCTTAAATCGGTAGTTAGATGTAGTTTCTATCTGTAAATTCAATAGTTTCTTCTCCACAAGTAGAATTTTTTGGTCATAGTCAACACACGTTTTGCCGAATCTCTTTCGAGATTCTACTACTATGTTCATAAGGTTCTCACATTTAGATGAAAGATCTTCGTTTTCTGCAAAACAATATTGAAAGTTTCGTTTAAAAGCCAGATTGTCTTTTGAGTTAATACTGTTATGAAATTGAAAGAGAATTACCCATTTTCTCATAGATAGCCTCAATGTTTTCACCAGATACCTACACGAACAAATAAGAATAATACATTCACTTAACAATAGATTGCATCTCAAACATCAAGCCAGTTATTTTTAAATTTAAAATCATAACATCGCGTTCCAGTTTCATTATTTACTCCAGTTTCAACTGAAGTGCATTAAACGACCATAAACAATTCATGCGTAGAACGCATGAGTGTTGCAGCCTCAGGACTTACTAACAAATTCTTACACTGAGTTCACTTGCTTCGGACTTATACAATACACAGATTTAAAGTCAAGTTTGGAGCAAAATGCTTATCAAAGGACATTACTATGAGAGATTTTTAAATTCTTAAAAAACTGAAGCCTACTTTTTAAAAGTTACTACTACTACTATTAACTACTTTGGGAAGACTCGCTTAAGTAGTCATCGACGTAGGAAATCAGTTACTGATAAATGGGTTACGGATACATCAAATAACTTATTAAGTAGTTCTCAAGCCTTCTACTACTTTATTTATGTAGTTTTACTCCAATAAAAATGGAAATCAAACAAGTCAAATAAAAAGGCATGAAAACCGAAAAAAAAAATGTTTAATTCAATACAATGTAATTCAGCTTGTTTTATATACACATGGTAATTTCAGTTATTATTTTTATTAGCCATACTAGTCACTACTTATAGCTTAAAGAGCTAAAGTTTGTGAGTGCCTGGTAATCTCAGGAACTACTATCTGAATCGAAGAATTATTTTAGTGTTGGATAGCGATTTAATCGAGGAAAAATTTAGGTTGTTTAACATCATGCTACGACAGTTACTTCCTTATAGTCTATTATAGAAATAATCGTCCTCGGGTCGATGTCATGTAAAACGCCGTTTTAAATGACTTGTTTTATTTAAATTGCTAATATAATGATTCTCATTTTTTTAGACTATCATGTCAGATCAAAATATATACTGTTATGTATATCTTTATGCTTTTACATAATTTTTAACGCAATAGAACACATTTTTCAAAAACATTTGTTTTCTGCTTTTCTTCTACGTACAAACATTCATTCGTCCTGTTACTGTCATTAAAGAAAGTAGTCACAAGTACAACGGGATAGATAAATAAATATTAAGTGCCTTTATGTATTAAAACTTTATTGTTTAAAATATGTATCAAGATCACTTTAAATGTACATTTTACTTTACCTACTATATAAGAAAACCCATTATAAGACGGGAGTGACCGAGTGACATACAAATAGTTATAAAAATCTATTACAAGTACCTAATAGCTTATGGTGTTACAATATTTACTGAATTCTTTATCATCCTCATGAACTCGTTCACGTTTATCTGAAATGAAAAACATATTTTTTTATTTTATTAGCAGGTAAATATTTTCTGTAACCAAAAACAACCATAGACAACATAGATCAAAATAAAAGCAGAGTTCGTTTAAATTTGTCTTTTTAAGGAATATCATTCAATATGCCCTTGCAATATGTAATATTTCAATGATATTTATAAACTAATTTTTATGCCCAAAATCCTATTTTAAAGATTAAAGGATCTAGCTCACTAGACGGCCACGACCACCCTTACAATGGAAGTCTACGTGTGCAGACAATCTTCAAAAGACGTACACTAACTGGAAGTGTATGAATGACTTCCAAAGTGGAAGAGAAGCGAGATGATATCACGACCGTGGAAAATGGTGTTCTATCGCCCCTGAAGAACTGGATTAAGGCGTAAGTGTATATTTGTAAAATGAAAGTCTTACATATCCATCGAAGTCTTTATCAGCATCATCTATCATTTCTTCTATCTCTTCATCGGTCAAAGGACAACCGAGAATTTTAGTGACTTTCTTAACGTTGTCGAAACTAATGAATCCTGTAACATTTATAATGATGTAAAAGTAGTCACAAAATACCATATTGGTATTCTTCGACTAATTTACTGTAAGCATTGCAGATTTGCTTCCTTCCTTTGAAGAATATCCTATCGTCAGTAAATGTCAGCTTGTTGAATACAGTTGTAGTAAAAACGAAAAACTATTGCTTGTGGAGAAGATTCTAGAGAATTCTTTTTTTTTATTGTATAAGGGGAAGATGAGCAGACGGTTACGGTACCTTAGTTAGTGACTACCGCCGCCCTTGGTCACTTTATGAGTTGTGGAACTTTATTACCTCGAGCCGCCCCGTAAGTACTGAAGCATATGTGCCCACCACTTTTGAAATATATGCTAATAAAATTATCAACTAGCTTTCGGTTATCGTAATAAAATGTCCTTCCTTACAACTCAAGCTATCGGTTCAGCGGGTATTGATTCTCCGTTTACCTTCCACCCTCCTTTTCAGACCATAAACGATGATTTTTGGGATAAGAACTATTCTATATAATTTCACGGGACATTATCTAAATCGTTTCAGCCATTTAAGCGTGAAAAGGTAACTGACAGATACACTTTCGCATTTATAATATTAGTATGGATTAGTATAGATGTTACCAGTATCATCCATGTCAAAGAGTCGAAAACTTTTCATAATATCACCATCACAATCCTGGGACATGATCTTTCTCATTATGGCTGTTTGAAAGTTTTCAAAGCTAAGCTTTCCAGTATCACCTTTATCTACAGCAGAGATCATTTTCTGTAGTTCTTCTTTGGTTGGTTCATAACCTGTAAAAAGCTTTGGATCAAAATAAAAAAATCACACAACTCACACACGGCCGTCTGATTCCAAAGTAGGCAGAGAGCAAATGGTGCCTATTATATAATTATTTGTTCTGGGTGGGCATCGAACCCATGACATATGTTTGGCATTCAGGATCACTAACCATTGGACCAGCAGGCCGCTCGTCTATTTAAAACGAAGTTAAGTGAGTATTATCTATGATGTGCGCACATGATACCGTAAGGTCGCTAATATCGGTTGTGCTACGTTGCAAGTGCAAATTATCTGCAATATTGCTACGTTGACGTCATTTTTTATCAATACCAATCTTTACATATTATTTACTTAAAAATAGGAGGAATAATAAAACTTGTAATACTCCAACAATAATTTTACGTAATAACTACTTGGAAATTATTTTTACCTAATAAAGTAGAAAGTAAGAAATTAAAGAAGAAGATTTTCTTGTACCAGTTGCTCCGCGTAGAATCGAAAGTGGTCACCATTGCCATCAGGCAATAAATATCACTTTCGGAAGAACAAGTAGTGTGTTCCGACTCTTTAAACCCATTTCCATACTTCTTGTGTAGAACTCCACACAGTAATAACAGTAGATACGGACGAATTTTTTTATGGTATAAGGGGGCAAACGAGCAGATGGGTCACCTGATGGTAAGCAACTACCGCCGCCTATAGACAAGTGCAACGGAAAAGTTACAAGTGCGTTGCTGCCCTTGGAATCCCTCTCGCTCGAGTCAGCGAATACGCCTTATCTTGGCTAATATTTTAGATTTGAAACTTCATTTATAACGATTTTACATCTTACCGAAATAAACGATCATACAGTATTTATAGTACAGAAACGGTACAGAACCCATGAATACATGCAAAAAAATTGTACTGTTCCGCAGGAATAGAAAAAATAATGACGAACGATGCCACAAGCAAAGTTAGTAGATAATAAATGAACTATTAATATTTTATTTAAAGTAAAAAGTTACCTAAAGCTTTAATGGCAACACGAAAATCCTCTGCGTTAATTTTACCATCGCCTTTGTAATCAAGAAGGTTGAATGCCTCGAGTAAATCGCTTTGCTGCAAACATAATACACAATTAACACAACTTATTACGGTACTGGTACTTAAAATGAGTTGATAGGACTTGCAGCATGGACTCGAGACACACACAGCTAATGTCACGTGGTGTTCTATAGGTATTTGTTCTTGGACCACTTCTGTGAAACATGGGGTACGACATTCAAGGGTACTCCCCATCATTCATCAAGTCATCGATCATCGTTGACTGACACAGGACCCTTGCCTACTAAATGATGCAGGTACTTTCCGGGTACGGCAGCTTCTGAAAGTACCTGCACTCGGTAGTTAGGAAGGAATTGTAATAGCTCAAATAGTTTAAATCTGATTGTACATTCAAGAAAATAAATTCTACCTGTCTCTTAGTCAAAACTAATTTTGGCTGAATTTGGTTTGATGTGCGTATAAATCGCAACGCTTCTGTTTCTAAAGGTTCGTCTTCTGAATATTCAGCGGTTCCGGACAAAGTAACACCGTCCATTATGTAGAGATGTAGAAACTAGAGGGCTATGACTTAAAGATATTGATCAAACGTACGGTAACCCGTTCTCAAGTAATTAACGAGCGAATGAACGTTTGGCAAGCAGTCGTTACAAATGGTGTTGCAAGTGAGAATATATTTATCACTGTTTTTTTCTTTTGGCAAACCTTTAACCCATATATATTTTACACTTTATTTCTAGACGATTTGCAAAATATGAACAACAAACATTCAGTGGTTTAAACAGCACATTTTTTTTGTTTTCGTAATTTGCAACATCATGAGTAAATGCAGTCATAATACATTGACCTCAGGCGATCAGCTGTATAAACGGCGCGTTAACATCACACGTTGCATCGACTACACTCGAATCGAACGAAATATGTTATTTTTGCGTTATCAGGATGAAGGAAACGCGTCTTTAATTAGTTCACCAGTAAGTACAGTCAGTCGGCCCTTAGCCACCTCGAATCGCTGAGTGTTATGCTGCTCTGTGTCCTTGTAGACGCACTCACGACAAATTATCGTAATAATAGTATTGCTGTTGTTCGTGAGATATGGGGGCGTCGCTTTTATGTCGCCGATATTACGACGCTTTAGCACACCCGTTATATAATGTGACACTGGTAACACCTATTCATCCCGTGGGTGTGTCGTAAGAGCCGATTAAGGGAGCACACTACACACGACAACAGCACTGCAAAGAGAAGGAAAACTTAGGCAAAACCTCCTTTATAAGGAGACGCATGTGTCAAGCAGTGGACCTTTAAAGGCTGTTGATGTGATGTATACATACGCTCACCCACAGATCCCCGGCAGTGTAAGCAGAGGCGAATTAACGCCCACATTTAGACGATTATAAATTTAATTCCACTTACATAATGGGGAACCAGCCTATTGGCGTCAACTGGACCCTTTAGGAATTAGATGAAGAAATTGGGAGTTTAATATGAAAGGAAAATTTGGTAAGACAGGAAGGCAGTGATAGGAAAGGGATATTGCTTATAGGGATGGATTGGGGAGTACTTGGGCCTCCAGTAACCTCCTCACTCACTCCGTGAATGCAACAAATGAATGAATTAATAACAGTTTTTTGTGAAGCCGTATTATCATTGAAGTTTAAATACCGAAATACAAAAGAAAAATGTGAAATAAACAGATGACATTTACCTGCTCTGGTGTCAGCATTAAAATAGCTGCAACCGTCTTCTCTTTTGGTTTGGTATTTTCTGTTTCATGTTCACTAGCATTATCCACACTTTCTTCATCAGGATTCATTTATAAGATATAAATAAAGAAAACTTTAAAGAAATTAAATAAAATGGAAGATAGTGCAAATAATCAAAGCTGATGGCAACTCTGTCAACTCGTCAACAGTTGTGTACTATAAAAGAAATTTGACAGTTACAAAAAAAGCTGATAATTATTCTTTATGATTCATGATCAGCTTCTCATAAAGTCGAAGAGTTGAGTATAGTCAGTCAGATTCTCGTAACATCAAAGAGCTGTAAAACAAAGGTAGTTATTGTACTTAAACTTTAGTACTAAATACATAATATTTGTATGTATGTATGTACGTACGTACAGAATTGAAAGAACAAGATGAACTTTTCACATGTTATTTTATAAATTAGAATTATTAAATTTAAGTATTGCATCTTGTTGCATACAGTTTTAAAATAACAGTAAATATATTTCTAGTCTACCTGTACTATAAATTAATAAAATAATTCTGAAGTTCTTTTTTATACCATAGATAATAGTAAGTAATGCCTCGGTCTCAAATTGCTCTATGGTTTTAAGCCCGCCATCATTATTTTGGTTTCACGAGTTTGAGGTTATATCGGCGACCGACGCCGTTTATATTTTGTACAGTTAATAGCACTATAAACTACAAATATGAAACTCGTACGATTTTTAATGAAGTTGAGTCACGAAACTGTATCTATTGAATTAAAAAATGGAAGTGTTGTGCACGGAACAATAACAGGCGTTGATGTCGCTATGAATACCCATCTGAAGGCTGTTAAAGTAACTTTAAAAAACAAAGAGGAATTGCAGCTGGAGACGTTAAGTATTCGTGGGAACAATATTAGATATTATCTGTTGCCCGACAGTCTACCGCTAGAAACACTTTTGCTCGATGATACTCCAAAAGGACGCGGAAAGCGAGAGGGTTTCCCGAGAGGTGCGGGCGGTGCTCGCGGCGGTCGAGGAAGGGGCCGCGGAGGTCGCGGTGGACCTCGAGGAGGCCGCGGAGGACGTGGTCGTGGTCGTCGTTAGATTGTATTCTAGTTTTAAGTAACAAACTTTGTGATTACATTATCTATATAAGGTCAGAATGGTTTTATTTTTTGTAATCTGTGTTTGAAGACGGTTTGATTGTTTTTAATTGTGGTGTATAAGAAGCCAAATAAATTATATTTTGTGAATTGTACATGTCTGTTAGCTGATATTCTTGATAGTTTAGTTTCTATTTTATATGAGGGTGGTATTCCAATATTGTACTTGCATACATGTACTTTTGTGTGTTTGAAAATGGAATTCTAAATTTCCATTGTCAAGTAATTCTAGGTTTTATCTTTTTTACTGGTAATATATTCTCTAAGAGATTAAAAGGCTATTAAAAACAAACAGTAATTTGATCAGGATACCTTGTTTTTTATTCTAATCTTGGTTTATCAAACTACAACTTTGCTTCAACTTTGATCTACAAGTTATTAATATTCTATAATGCACTACCAGATCTCATGTGTGCGTATCATTGCATTTGTTTTATTTTGCTGTTTTTAAATTATCGTCTAGGCTAGTTTTAAAAATGTTCACTGATCCAGCACTACACTTTCTGGTAAACTATTCCAAATGGCAACCACTAAATTTGGTAGAAAGTCTCCTTTAGGGTTGCTAACAGATGGAGACATGGTAAGCTTTAATGAGTGTCTTCTCAATTGGGTATTTGAAGTCATGTATAGGGGTTTCCAATATCTTTTACATCTTTTAAGTTTGTAGTGTCCAGTTATTATTTTAAATGTTTCAATCAGATCTCCTGCATTGTTCCAGTGTTGTTAAGTTTAGTTTGAAAATGTGTTCTTCACATGACTTGTATGATCTGGATGAAAGTAAACATTTTTGTGTTGCTGCTGAAAGTTGGTATAAGAACTAGTAGGTATAACATATAATTTCATGAAAGACACTTCGTGTAAATCACAAATTGTCGTTCAGTCTGTTCAATTGTCAATGTCAATTGACAATTGTCGTCCGTTCCTTGTGTTAGTTTCATGTAAGCTGGTAAAGTTCCCTGTGACACAGGATATATATTCCGAGTATGGGAGTTGTCTTGAAAAATAATAATAATCTAATACAGCTGTCTGATAGCCAAACTAGGCAGAGTCTGTGCTATGATGACCAGCCTGCTAATAAATTATTATAGATAAAATACTTGTACATTTTGTATCCGTTTGGCAATGGATAAGAATACAGAGTGTCACCCTGTGGGTGTCGTAAGAGCCGACTAAGCGAACTAACTACGAACACCACTGCAAAGAGAAGGATATCTTGAAACAAACCCTATACCAACCCATCTGGCCAGCGGGGTATAGTAGGCCAAAACCTCTTTTCTAAAGAGAGGCCTATGTCCAGCAGTGGACTATTAAAAGGCTGTTGATGTAATGAGATGTGAAGTTAGTGATGTTGCCGAAGCCTAAACCCGTTTTCCTTTGATTCTAAGGGTAGGACTCAAGTCTCTCAGGTCTCAGGTGTCCATTGACGGGCCTGTTGGTCTAGTGGTGAGTGACCCTGACTGCTAAGCCGGCGGACGTGGGTTCGATTCCCACCCAGGACAATTATTGTGTGATAAGCATGGTCATTTGTTCTGTGTCTGGGTGTAATTTATCTATAATATGTATGTATTTAAAAATAAGATCGATCTAAGTGGCGTGCAATGGGAGAGGCCTAAGTCCAGCAGTGGACTACGTGGCTGATGATGATGATGTATGTTTATCAGTAGTCTGGTTACCATAGCACAGGCTTTGCCTAGTTTTCACCATCAGACGGTCGTGTGTGAGATGTGTAGGGTATATTATGGACGGCGGTAGGTATTTACCATCAGGGGACCCGTCTTTTCGTTTGCTCTTCATTACAAAAACAGAATCAGTAGATTACTTAATTCTACTAGTCGGTAATTATGAAGGTAATTCTGTACTGAATGTGGAAAAGACACCTTTGTCACTACCTCGCTGGTTCTTTAACTGCCTCGGTGCAGTGGTAGCGTATACGACTGCTGTGCTGAGGTCTCGGGTTCAATTTCCGGGTCGGACCAAATGTTTATTTGATCTGCAAAGGTGTGTTTCAGAGTTTGGGTGTTCCATGTATAATATGTATGTATTTACAAAAGTCTAACTTTCGTAGTGCAACCTCTGCTCTGCTGAAACTAGATGGCGTTGTGTGTCAGATGTCCGAAAAAATACTACTACAAGGCAGGCCATTTATCAAATAAGAGAAGCTGAGCAGCAGAATCTACTACATGCATGTGCAACTATAGCACACAGGAATTAGGCCGCCAGCATTAGGAATATATACTGTGTCACGGGGGACTTTACAAACATACATGAAACGGACACAAATAACAACCAGAGTCAGAACAACAATTTGTGGATCACACAAAGTGTCGTCCCATATGGGGTTTGAACCCACAACACTCGGCGCAGTAGGAAGCAAATACATTTGGATTCACAGACCTGATGGTGTAGTGGTTAATGATCCGTAGATAGTAGGTTCGATTACCACCCGAGATAAATGATTCTGTGAAAAGCATAACCCTTAGTTGGCAGGGTGTAATTCATTTATAATACTATGTACCTATTTATTTAGTAAATTTATCGGCAGTTTAGTTAGCACCAAAGTTCAGGCTCTGTCTAGTTTGGGATCAGACTCAGATCAGGTTGTGTGTGAGATGCGTGAAGGTAGCAGTATTTATATTTAATTATTAAAAAATCATCAAATCTGTTTAGCCGTTTCACGTTGAAGGATTACAAAGATACATACACACACACACAGACAAGTTTTCATTTACTGATAATAATTTTCGGTTTTACCCTACCAAAACATATAATATTATCAAAATAGGAACATGGAATTTTTGCTTTTATTATCCCTATATGTAATTTTCGCTGGCGCCATTCCTTATTACGCTTAGCCACCTATAACTGCACGGAACACATCCGAAGTATTCGACTGGTATTGACTATTTTGCCAAATCTACATATTAGGTCTTTACCTATAAAATTGCCGTTTTGTATGCAATAAGTGAAAGTACTTATTTTTTCAAACTTTTTTATTTCTGTTATTCGAAGTAATCACCCATGCAATCGACGCATCTTTGCCAACGCATTGGCAGTTTATTGATGCCCTTGTAAAAATCAGCTGAACGGGAGGCAACAAACTCTTCAAAGGCATTTTGTACTGCCTCTCGGGAATTGAATTTTTTACCCACTAAAAAGTTGTCTAAATTTTGGAAAAAGTAATAGTCGGTAGGTGCAAGGTCTGGTGAGTATGGCGGATGAGGGAGAGCTTCCAACCCCAGCTCTTGCAGCTTGGAGACTGTCTGTTGCGCAGTATGGGGTTGCGCGTTGTTGTGAAGCAGCAGTGGGGACGACCGATTGACCAAAGCTGGTTGCAGATGTGACCACCAGACCTTGCACCTACCGACTATTACTTTTTCCAAAATTTAGACAACTTTTTTCTTTATTACTTTTTCGTCCTATTCGCCGCATTGCTTGCAAACCGAATTTTTAACTTGTGCGTGCTAGAAACTAGTAAATGACCTTTGGCAATATGACGCTAAACCTAGGATAAAAAGTGTCCATTAATGTATCTCTCGTAAACAGGATAAGTGTTAAGAACCATAGTCCGGAGATCTCATAGCCGTTAGGAAAGGAGAGGGCTCTTGTAGAGATTATAGTGTTTGCCTAAACATGCCTAAAGTTTGTCCTACATTCCGTGCACAGAACATATATACCCATAAAGGCTCCGTGGCTCTATGGCAAAGGTAACAAAACAAGGTTGTATCTACGTACTACTTAAATGTATTAAAAAAAATGCAATAGGGTGTATGAAAAAAAAAAGATTTTTTTCTTACATGGTAACTACGAATCTACCACCGTAGATTCGTAGTTACCATGTAAGAAAAAAATCTTTTTTTTTTCATACATTCATAAGGATCACCATCCTTATGAATGTTTCAGCAGAAGTTGATTTTTATAGACGTTTCGCTCTTAATTATTTTAAGTAGACCGGCTCTTAAAAAATATATATATATTTATATATATATTAAATAATAATAATAATATATTTTACTACATTCACACAACGCCATCTAGTCGCAAACTAAGCAGAGCTTGTACTATGGGTACTAGACAACTGATATAAATACATATATACTTTTTTTTGTGAATACATACATATTATACATAGAAACACCCAGACCAAATCAAAGATTAAATATGTTCATGCACACAAATGTTTGACTTGTGCGGGAATCGAACCCGCGACCTTTGGAGTAGCAGTCCGTTACACAAACCACTACGCCATCCGGTCGTCTTAAAATAAAATGAATCGGGACTATCGAACACCCTGTCCTAGCTTCCTACTTTATGTTTTTTTTAAAGGGGATGTAAATGTATATTTTAAAAAATGATTTCAATGCCAACGAATTTAGTGTAATGTATATTCTGGCAGCCATAGATGTCAATATAAATAGATGAGTTAACTATCATCTTATCTAGTTATAATAAATCTATGAAGTACAAATACTTTTTGGTCAGTTTTTCTTTTTGATGCTGACAATCTTCTGTCAAACTGTAAAATAGTTTTAAAAATTCCTGTTCAGTGAATACCAAAATGTAAAATTTAACAAGATATAATGTTTTTGTAGTTCTATATGATTATATTTTGAATAAGTAGTATGCCCGCATCCAGAGTGCGAGGTCAGGCCTCTGGTAAAAAATTGGATGCTAGATCTGAGGTGTTATATTTTCTAGCTCCTGGACCTGCTAACTTTGTGAATAGTATTGTGGGCATCATGGAAGACGACGGCCCAAGGCCCATGAGGAATATGAGACCCGCAGAGGTATTTTTCATTCGATTATTTTATACTTATAAACATTTTTTGTGTGTACAAGAAATATGGAATGATTTTTGTTTATGCTTTGTAGAAAATTTGGTCACAGACACTACATAGATTATACAGATTAATTCTGAATCAGTCACCTGTAGATAATGCGGTGAAAAAAATTGAGGTAGTTGGTGACACTTTACTAAGTGATACAACCAATATACCTGCCGTACTTGTACCTACCCCACCGACTTCCAAACGAGTCTGGTTTTGGTATCATTTCAAACTCACATGAAGTACAGCAAGCTCCTTTTTTCTTCAAGAAAATACGCTACTATCTTTATTTTCTTAGTCCAAAAAGAGAAAACCATAATATTTCGTCAATTTAACACATCTTTAGGGAGTGATAGAATATCCTAACCAAAAACTAGATGAATCAAACCTTTTCATACGTTTCGTAACAGAGTAGGTACTTTAGTTTGTTTTATTTAACAATACGTAAAGGTACTTATATTAAACCTAGACGGTTGTCCACAATCTTGTCATGGCCAATGGATCTTTGCAACTGAAGATGTTTTTAGATCAAAAGCGTGCGTTTTGCTTCCAACAAAAACTTGAATAACTTAAAAATTATGGCAAGGAAGTAATTCTATAAAATTAGTGGCCGAAGAAGTTCTTTTCGAACTTCTTTTATGGTCTTTAAGTATCGCATCGCATTACCTGCGAAATTAAAACTAGACTCGTCCCATCAGTGTATAAAAGAAGGATTACATGTTTGTCTTGTATGTCCATTTTATGAATGGCGTTAGTTTTGCTTTTAAAAAAATGGCGATACATTTTTACCTAAAAACGTATTTTTTTTTCTTCGATAAAGTTATCGAGTAGTTACCAATGAAAATATTAACTATCTATTTTCACACTTTTTGCTATTTAATGTTTGTTTTTGTGTTATTAGAAACAACGCACGGGCGCCGATAAGTTCCAGAGTGAACATCATGGCCAATACGAGGCTCGTTGCCGACAGAGTCGTGACAAAGTTAATGATAGAGTTCACGCCCACAATTCTGCCTACCCCAAGATGTATGACGAGCTTGATAATAGGCGGTCAACGGCTAAGGTGTGTGGCATATTTGTTATTTTATATTGGTATTCAAACAGTTTGTAATAAAGGTTACATACATACTTTAAAAAAATATGATTTAGTTTTTCAAACTAACAACACTCGTCAGTTTTCCGAGTTCGATTATCAAACACTGACGAGTGCTTTACAAACTTTAGTCAACTTTCAGGTATATTTAGCCGTACCAGGGTATTGATGACCTCCCTACCTGTATTGATTTCCTTTCAAGAGTATACCTGGTTCCCCGGCAACTGGTACCTAAGACTGCCACTGGTTTTTGGTCGGTTCGAGTCCGACAACAACCCCACCGGTAGATGGTATCCGGGGGGGATTTCCGCACAGAAAAAAAGGTATCTTTTGCTGTGCTACCTTTTAGATGTGCAATATTTTTTTTCACGTTTTCTTGCAATCTGTGGGTTCGTGAAATAGGACGGGTGTGTGTGGACGGAAGCCTGGAAATTGATTAGAGCAATGAGCTTGCTGATTACAAAGGTTTAATGTCATATTTTACACATCGTTTAGGCGTATAGAAACTCATTTTATACATATTTATTTATTATTATTTTACAATATTAATATCTTCTTTCTTTTTCGTTGTTTTTACTTTCGTACTATCACAGCTTACCATCTACAGAATATTAACTGCCAAACTTGCATTATGCCACTGACTGTGCCGGAAAGAAGAGTTTCTCGTAGAACTAGAATCCAAAACTAGATAGAGTAAATAGTCTCAGAGTCATTAGTCGGAAAACTCTAACAAAAACATATTTAAATATTTTTTGTCCTTATGTTCTCTCTTAAGTACAACGATTCATCTTTATTGCGCAAGTGTCATTAAGAATATTAAAAAAAAACTAGCAATATTCTTGGCGTAAAATGTGTTTTCCTTTTTTTCTCTGGCAACTGTCTAGGATGTTAAAATTAACGAAATCGCTGAAATTATTTTTTTAGCCCTCAATGCGTCCCGAGCGATCAGCGTCCTACCGTGGAAAAAGTAAAGCACTTTGTTGTAGATGCCTAAGGCTAAAGAATCGAGAATTGAAACAAGTCCGAAGATATTCTAGGTCTCCAAACAGACGAATGAGATCATATAAAATGAAATCAAGAGTAACCAAGCCTAAACAAAAATTTACCAGAAAATATCAATCACGTTCTAAGAATCCTAAGTCTAAATTTAATATAAGTAAGGGCTGTCAGTATTATCGGGTGCCGCTAGAAACGAAAAGCGTTTCAACTTGTGATGATGATTATGCAGACGACAATAAGGCAGGAGGTAGTAAGAGGCAGGAGACTGGTCATAAATCGAAAGATATGGATGAAAAGACTTTGAAACGTGAAGATTCCGCAATTAGCATTGCAGGTGCGCCAAAGTCTGAGATTTCTCAAAATCCAGGGACCAGCGCGCCATCTCTTAGCAGTTATAATAGTTACTTGTCCATGGATCATGAGCCTATGGTCGAATGAATGTTTTTATAAGTTTAAACACTAAGAAAATTGTCTATGTTCAACTAATTAATTCGAGTTGTTTATTGGTATTAGTTATTTGTTGGTATTGCGAGAATAAATTGTGCTGGTATTATTTTCTTTTAATTTTTATCCTAAGCTCCAATTTTTTTCAAAAGTCTAATACTTTATTTATGAAATAATGATTAACTTTAAACAATTAATTAAAACTTGCGTTTCATTTTCAAAGTTAAGTCTTGGGTTATTGAAAGTTTTTGAAAAGTTTAAGTTTAGGCTACATTAAAAAAAACAAAGTATCGACCTATTTTTTTATTAAAATCAACTGCCCAATACATAGGTATGTAGCTTTATTTTGAAATATTGTATTAATTATTTAATATTTCTTTCCGTTGAAAATATGAATTTTATATATTTTTAGATTGTGCGACAGTTATTATGTCTTTACATTTTAAATTATTTTGTAGAAATCGTGAGTATTATGGGGTAGCCTTTTACCCTCAATATTTCTACAAAATAATTTCGATGTTTCACATCTGCCAGTTTTTTTTTTATGGATGAGTGGGCAATCGATTCGACGGGTCACCTAATGGATAGTGACTACCGCCGCCCATGAACGCCTGCAACTCGAGGATTCAAAAGCGGATGTCCCGCGACGGTCTAATTTTTTTAATTTATCCATGAAGGTATGACGCTAAAAATAGATCTAAGCGGCATGCAATGGGAGAGGCCTATGTCCAGGACTGGACTGCGACAGGCTGACGATGATGATGAAAGGTTTCTTTAAACTTATATAAAAGACTTTTCTTATTAAATCTATTATAGCAGCAACATGGATATGTTGATTCAAAATAAATGTACTTACATCACACAACTTTACTGAATTCAAATGCGAAAACAATAAATAAAATATATTTTTTTGTTTAAAAACTGAATCGGTGAACTAAACATATATCAAATTAAAAACAATAGGTATTGCATCTTCTTTGAATTGTATGGACTAGTGATGTGCCAATATTTGAGTCCGGATTAAGTGTTTCTATACGGATAATAAGGATACGGAGTTTTTTCTGTGTATACTTGTGACCTTGAAACATCAGTTAATGTTTACCCTGAATATTAAATGAAGACCAAATCTTGTAATAAAAGTTCGGTCACAATTCAGTTCCAAGGTATTTTCGTAGCTCTAACAGCCCACCCCTGGACATAGGCCTATCCTAAGAAAGGGGTTTTGGCCTACTATATCACACTGGCCAGACGGGTTAGTATCAAGTTTTCGTTCTTTTTGCAGTGGTGTTTTCCTGCGTAGTTTGCTGCCTAAGTCTGCTCTTACGACACCCACTTGAGTAATTGGTGTGGTGTACACTCCGTTTTCTTAATCCGTCTCCACACAGACAACTGCCCATTTGGTCTCATTCAAATGAAGAAAAATTTAGGAATGAAGAATTGAGTTTGTCATCATAATGTACATTGAAGTCAGGTGTTTCTTGAAAGTAATTATTTTTACTAGCGACCCGCCCCGGCTTCGCACGGGTGCAACTTACTATACGTATAAATAATTTCATCTTGAATCCCTCTGTCTATTGATGAAAACTGCATTAAAGTCTAAGTTAAATCAGTTTGAAAGAACTAAGCGTACAAGAACGGGAAGCGACTTCATTTTATTCTATTTTATTTTTAATAATGTCAAATGTAAAATTTTAGTAAACACTAGTTGTACCCGGCTACACTTCGCTGGGGCACATTCTCGTTACATTGATGAGAAATAAGTAACGAAACTGATGCGAAAATTAGATGAGACCAATCTTTGAAGCAGTTTGAATATCGTTTCAAAATTTGTGCTCAATCTGTTTCAGCTTTTTGAGTTTTTGAACAATACATAAACCAACATAACATTTTCATATATTTATATAAATCTGTAATTTCATAAAAACAATTGACCTATTTCTTAGCGTTTCATGGATTCACCAGGTCCATCGCGTGATACATGCGACTTCGATGGGGGCAACACATGCGACTTCGACAGCGCCTGGGAATTGCGACCCAGGTATAGGTTTAGGGAGTACTCTTTGTGACGCGTCAGCGCTCACCTCCTACCATACCATCCACCTAACCATATTTTCTTTATTTATGTAATAGGGGGCAAACGAGCAGACGGGTCACCTGATGGAAAGTGAATACCGCCGCCTGTGAACGCCTGCAACTCAGGAGTCACAAGCGCATTGCCAGCCTTTAAGGAAGGAGTACGCTCTTTTCTTACAGGTCTGATACGAGGCTAGCAATGCTATATGCTATAACAAAATAAAAGATCCGTTTATGATCCACAAAAATGTAATGGATTTACGCATAGATACAAATCTATTTTCATGATACGGATATCATGCTCATCACTAGAATGAACTAAAAAAAAATATTATACATATTATAAAAAAACTAAATTTCTTTCTTAATTCAATTTTGTTTTCAACTAATAGTACAAAGAACCCCTTTATCAAACCGTCTGGCTAGCGTAGTATAGTAAGCTTAAACCTCCTTTCTAAGAAGAGGCATGTGTCCAGCAGCGGACTATTCATCATCAACAGCCTTTACTAGTCCACTGCTGGACATAGGCCTCTCCTTAGAAAGGAGGTTTTGGCCTACTATACCACGCTGCCCAGACGGGTTGGTATAGGGTTTGTGTCAAGTTTTCCTTCTCTGTGCAGTGCTGTTGTTCTGCGTAGTTTGCTCCCTTAGTCGCCTCTTACGACACCCACGGGATGAATAGGGGTGGTGACACTCTGTATTCTTAATCCGTCACCACACGGAAAGTGGACTATTAGAGGCTGTTGATGATGATGAAACGCAGTTGTTGTATTTTGCATATATTATACCATTTATATTCATCAATCAAATCACCAAGGCTCACAAAGTTCATACTTTTCAATACATTCTATCAACCAACCAATAGGCAACGCTTTTAAATGCTGCATGTTATACATTGGTTCATACATATCTTTGAAAATAATATAGTGCGAGCAGTTGTATAGCTTACTATCCTTTTTTGCATGATATGGCACCAGTTTCTCACTCTCTGGTATTAATTCTGGGTTAGGTACTCTCCGTAAGACAATCCCACCTGCATCGGTTATTAGTTTTGTCAAAATGGTTTTGTTAAGGACCAATGATTTTGAGACTTCATACTTTGTGTTAAAGTTGTGTAAGTAAAAGTGGCATCCGTTGAAGATGCCTGGTAACTGCTTGTATTTGTTATATCGTGAATTTTTTGGTCCTTTGTTAAATTTTGCTCCGACACCTGTAATTTCATATGCATTGAACGGTTCTAATTTATCTTCCGTGGAGTTTGTTATCCATTCTGATGATATAATCCAAATGCTTGTAACAATTCCTTGTAACACGTCTAAAGATGATTCGCAAACATCTTTATCAGAATCGACAACCATGTGCGTTACTTTTTTAGTAAGCTTTGCTTCAATAAATACATTATTGTGATGTTTGGCAATAGTTTTCACCTTGTTATGTACGGTACGGTACTGTGACACACAGTAAATGTGGATATCATCAAATGCTAGGCCTTCATACAAAGCCGCTAAGCTTGAAACGTTAACACCTTGTGTTTGTAACACATTCTCGGCTGCTGCAAGTAATATATTCTTCATTTCACTTGATGCAAGCTGGTATGGTGTCTCCCCTTTACAATTCCTTATATTAATATCGGCACCATGTTTTACTAATACTTCAGCTATTTCTACATGTTTATAACGGACAGCTTCATGCAATGGTGTTTCATTACCTTGGCCAGGTACGTTTATGAGTGTGTTATATTGTAAAAGTAATTGTACTAGATCTAATTGACCGTTTTGTACTACTTCATGAAGTGGCGTCCACCCAGCATTGTCCTTGGTGTTTGTATTAGCACCTGCTGCCAGTAACTCTTTGATTTGATCAATTTTACCGAGCCGGCAAGCGAGATGAAGTGCAGTTTCTCCTTTGGTGTTACGTTTTTCATTGCTTTTAACTATAGAACTCACATTTGAGTTAAGAGTCTCGCTAAGTTCTGGCCGTGAGTTAGTTTTATCACTTAAAGGCTTTTTACCGCTATTTTTAATGGGTTTTTCGATAGGTTTAGCACGTTTATTTGTAACTTCGTCAGTTTTTTTAGTGCTTTTTGTTGACGCTTTGATTAACTCTTTCGGCCGCAACTTTTCGAATATTAGATCTAACTCTGTTGTAGACTCTATGCAACGCGCAATTTTATCGTCTACAAAAGTTTCAGCATCGTCTAATGGTATATGGCAGTTCGGGCATTGTTTTAAATTTTTATGTTCCGCACATATCCAATGAAAACATTTTTTTAGAACAACTGGTTCTTTACAAGTTTTCTCACATACACCACAGATAAAGTCCTTCTTCACAGTGTCCAGGGCATTTAAGAAGTTTTTCAGATCAGCTGCACTCATTTTGAGATGATTTCCTATGTCAACAATGTTTTATTGTTTTTAAGTTTCTTAAAAGCACCACGTACCTACATAAAGTTTTGATTGTCAAGCATCGCGGGAATTTTTTAATATTTTGACATTTGACATTTCTAACAAGTACATTTTTTTTTTGTAATTTAATGACCTGGCAACTAAGACCTTTACGTCAAGTCTTATTTTTTTTGAACAAACATTGCACTCTAAGAAGTACAAGTTCAAAAGCTTTTCTATTACTGAATTGGATACTTGTCTTTATGTATCGATTAAATGTTTAAAAGTAAAATGTTGAGGTGGATAATTAAGTAACACGGTAGGGAGTAGCCGTACGCAGGCGTTTCCCTCTGCCAAAGTATAAGTCCACACGGTCATATGCATGTGCATAAAACTAGTTGCCGCCGGACCGCTCACTAGACTAAATCTAGTTGCGCTGCTGAGTAGACAACAGAAGCCGGACCTACAAAAATGCCGAATTGTACAGTTTTTGCTTTAAAAAGAGATCTGCTACGTCAAGTTTACGAAAAGATGACGTTACCTTTCATATGTAAGTAATTTTTAATCAAATTACTATTTACTGATTTATAAACTTAAAATTTACGAAAATAACATTTGTATTGTATTTTTATAGAATAGGTTGCAAACGAGCAGACGGGTCACCTGATGGAAAGTGAATACCGCCGCCTGTGAACGCCTGCAACTCAGGAGTCACAAGCGCATTGCCAGCCTTTGAGGAAGGAGTACGCTCTTTTCTTATTAGTAGGTATTGTTTTGGATTTGTTTACCAACACACAACACCGCTCGCTCTCGTGTCATGTTGCTAATCGCTATTACCGAGCGATAGTTACCCTTTTGTAAATAGTTAGGTTTCGATAAAATAAATACATCCATGTCTCTCGTGCATATTATCTTTTTTGATATTATGTTTTCTGATATAATTAATATAGGTATGTGGATTGTGAGCTTTATTTTAAAATACTTTAATGTTAAAATTGTGTCAAATCAAATATAATACAATACTTACGAGTATTAACACATTATATTAAAATAACTAAGTGTGAACTACGACCACATTGTTTTTATTTATTTATTGCAAGTTTCCTAAAGAGCCGAGTTTAAGGGATATAATAAGAACTTTTATAAAAACTTATACCTTACCTGGACACCTACAAGAAACAGTGTCATTTGCTCAGATCATTTCAAGACCTCTGACTTTTAAATGTTGGAGAACAATGGAAGGATGGAACATTCTTAATGAAAAAAGCTAACTCACAGTATTCGACATATTTTTACAAAATTATTCCAGTTTAAAAAACAGTGATAGATGAAACTATTGGAAATATCAATTATGATTGTTGTAATAAATAAAGTCCTATCTATATTAGTATCCACTCTTGTATCACTTTTTGAACCTGTTTTCCTTAACCGACTTAACGAATTTATCGATATTGCGTATCGATAGTTGTTACAGCCACGGTTGCTTAGCAACATGTCAGTGTATTGCGCCACTTCATTACACAGAATGTGTATGTGCGTGTGTGAAATTGTTAATGTGTTGTTTTAATTGTTATGTGTGAGTTCCGTAGTGACAGCCAATTTTTTTTTGCATGGGAGTTTTTTTTTTTTTTTTTTATAGTTTCCCCTCACGGTTAAACCACCATGAGGGGGAGTTTATTAAATTATTATGGTACATTCTGCTATTTGATACAGAAATATTTGAGTGCGTTATGTGTTATTAAATTCTTTAAGTGTGTAAACTATAAGGGTGAGGTGAGTCATAAAGGTTTGGGTGGCGGTGTTGTTGGTGATCAGTAATGTTAAATTATATGGGTCTAAATTAAAGTGGTGACAGAGTTGTTCATGGTTGAGTCTTGTGCGAGTGTATCGTGGGCATTCTGTAATGAGGTGTCTAAATGTCTGGGTAGTTGTGTTGTCGCAGGGGCAGGTGTTGTCGTCTGTAATATGAAATCTGTGTAGGTATTGTTTGTGGTAGCCGTGGTTGGTGAGTAATTGTGTGAGTGCGAATGTGTGTCCTGTTATGTCGATAAGTTTATATAGGTGTGTAAGTGATGGGCACCAAGTTTTAATAATGGTTCCTTTGACATTATCAGCATATCTGTTACAAGCTACGTCATGGCTATAGCCTATTTTGTATCGCGAAAAGACGCTGTGGCTACTCCGCTTCGGTCCGCCGGTGGCCGGTGTCGCTCTATGATGTGGATTATAAAATAATATTAGAATTTTCATAATTAATAATCAGATATAAGTGAGTATATTAAGTAGTGCTAAATAATGAATGAATGCTTTTAAAATGTTTTGCAAATTAAGCACCTAATGATAGGTTCAGAAAAAAATAATTAAACTGTACACAGTTTTTTTTATAAAGAGTTCCTACAAAAAAGTACGGGAAGGAAAAAAAGGAATAAACTAAAATAAAGGAAGAAAAAATAAAGGCTTAGCTCTATAGCAATCTCTTACAGGCAATCTCTGTTTAAAGAAATCGACAGCAAATAGATGAATTAATTCATGAGTAGTTGTGGTGTGATAAGTTGTAAAAGAATCATAAAATATTCATACAGTATTTGATTTAGATAAAAAGAAATAATAAAATTTGAATATACAGTCCTTTGCGCTTTTATGTTTTTTGTAGTATAGAATAGATGGACACCTATTTCGTTACTTTATTGCAATGTGTTAGTTTTATCGTTTACGTCATTAGTTTTAGTTAAATATTTTGCTATTTACTTATAGTTTGTTATGTTGGTGCATTTTTTCGTAATTTGTTATAGTTTCGTAATTTATTATTAATGTTTGTAATTTATTTAGTATAGTTGATGACATATCTAAGACTTCGACTTAGTGTAAGAATCTTGTAATGTATACAGCGTTACTGAAGTATTTTCAAATTGGGGTATAATGTACACAAATTGTGGCATCTCTTGGTATCTCTTGAGTTACAGGTGGTCATGGGCGCCGGTAGTAACTTAAAATTAGATGACCCGTCTGATCGTTTGTGAGTCACTTGTTGGTCAGACACAAGAGTAGAACACAAACAAACATTATAAACATCTCTATGAATATGTTTGTAGGTGCACGGAATGAGGGTTCACCAAGGACACATTATGAAGGTTATCTATCATTCAGAAAAAACTACTGTTTCTAAGGGTACCTGATTGACAAAATATACCCTAACGCAAACAAGGCTAATTATTGCTTTCCATTTATGTTGATAAGCATATTGTACTGTCTCTGTGTGACTGTTAAATGTAGGTATATTTTTTCGTGTTCTTGGACTTGTTATCATGTAGTCAAACTTCTTTTTTTTTGTATTAAAAAAAGAACAAATAACAGCTTCTCGACTACGGATGTGACTCTTTAAATATTATGTTTAAAAATTTCCACTGTCGTATGTTTCAATTACCAAGAACATTTATATTTCATTTACAATTTTCGATTAAAGAAAGATTAACTGATTTCCGCGATTACTTAAGCTATAGAATTACAATGACAGTCTGTTTCGTAGAAGTAGGATTAGGGTTACTAGAAGGATCCTGTTTTGGGTAACAATTGGAATAATAATAACCGACGTAAAACTATCAAAAATTTATTTATGCATATTATATAAAATATCCTAGTTTAATAAATATCAACTACTAATTAAAAAAGCGACTAGAGTTAACAACAGAATAGCCAAAGATGGCGTAATTACGGCGCCAAAATTGCAAGAAAAGTCAGTTACGTTGCTAATACTTAGTTCAAAATTAAAAGGTATTTTATCAAAAGGATGAGTTGTCAATATTTCTCCAGGTCGTAAGTTTTTCGTATCTGAGTGGAAAATAACTTCCTTATTATGGTTAAACGGACCGTACATTGAAAACATCGGACTATGAAAAGGAGGATTTTTGCCGAATATTTGATCAAGCTTCATAAACACATTAACTATTTCATGTTTCCTGACATCTGTTAGATTTTTGGCGGTAAATATGTGGCCTAGGTTTGACCAACTTATGAAACAAAATTGTTTGTTGTCTTCAGGGCATACAGGAACGATGTTTTTCATGCTTTTTGACTCTGAAAAAAAAACGATAATTAGTATTAAAATGACAAGCGTATACGTAGCACTAGCTCGCACTAACTAATTCGGTATATACCATACTAGTGGTATGATATTCCTTTATTTACCCTTTTTTTCGTAATTTGTGCACTTTCGGAATACACAGGAAGGCATTTTATGAATTTTATATAATTATATGTTTTGTTCTAACATGCATTAATAGATGTATGTACGGTTACGGTACAAATATTTTGTGCTTGCAGTATGAATATATTTCGTATTTTCCTTAAAATATCATTGTATGTAGGTACATAATATTGTAAAAATTAAAACATTCTAAAAGGAACTAGGGGACTGTAAGTTACATTTATTTAAGGAAGAAAAGAATCATTTTCATTTTAATGTTTTTCTTATAAACATTTTATGAAAGAAATTGACATCGAAAATAATGATTTAAAACTTCTTAGAAATTTTTGCCTACGAAGATGTCTTTTCCACTTCTTTTTAAATTTGGAGAAAAATCTCTGAATATCATTAGTTTGTCTTGATGTCTTGGGTAAAACAAAATAAATTGGGTAACTCTACTACAGCTTTTCTGTATTATTATGGAAATTGACTACTGTTGGGTACGTTCTCAAAATAAAACCAACTGTTGTTAAGAATGTTTGTAATGTATATGTATAACTTACCTTCGTAAGCATGATAAGTATTCATACTGACAAAAGCGACGTCACTTTTATTTTCAATGAGAGATTTCAACGCCTCCCTTTCACCAGCTTCATAACAATTCTTTCCTTCCAATCCAGGAGCGCATATTTCCTTGAAATAATTATCTACATAGTCTTTGCATGATATTTTCTCATGTTTGGTTATATACCGTAGAACGGAATGCCACGACGCGCCGTCGTAGCGCGGGAACGCAGCGCGTTTTCCCCGTAAATCTGACATTTTGGTAATTTTTGCATCCTTTTTGACGTAAGCTAATACTGTGTTGGTTTTCTGAACGATTTGTGTGATCTCGTGGAGAAGGGGTTGTAGGGACAGGCTGAAAATGTTTATTTTCGATTATGTATGGCTAAATAAGCAAACATGCACATGGTACTTATATAAACTGCATTCTAGAGATAGCACTACCCTACCCTTGCTGTTTTTTCGTCTGATGTATTGGGTGTATGGACGCCATTGTGGCAATATTAAAGTAAAGTTATAGATAATAGGTACCATTCATGTTGCAGATACTGATATATCTCTATGGTTAATAGACAAAGATAACCAATTATTAGACCTTTGGCAACTTAGAAAAAAAACCAAAACTCATTAAAATTAAATGTAACAAATATATTCTGACTTAGTTAAGTACTAAATAATAGAAATTTAAATAATCTGGTAATATATGTAATCTTTTAAGAAAACTGTTGTTGGTATACCCCACCGATTTAAACAAAAACAGACCTAACACTTTTTTGCCTGTTTTTTTAAAATTATTGTTGCTATCAAACGAAATTATTGCCAAGACGTATTTAGAAATTTACATATAACTTATCTTGATCGATTCTTTATTTTAATGTTACTAGGAACTATGTAATGGGCATTCATGCAGATTCATCACTTTAAAACCATGGCTTTTCACGCAATCAGTACATAAGTACATACATTACATCATTTTTTATATGGAAAATAACACCACCAGTGCAATCTGGGCGAAACGTCAGCCGTACGATGATTAGTTAAGTTAGTCTAGTATAGGCATATGGCGGCAAACAAAGTTCTCACCTAGGAGCAGTGATGAGGTGATCACTATCACCAACTGCGGCATCACTCTCTCCATACGCTACCGAACGCAGGCACTCCTCGGTGTTGTTCTTCAGAACACACTGCAGCGATGGTACTATACCATAGACGGCACCGCCCTCACTCAGCCACTCGCATTTATATCTCTCTAGAATTGACGTGGTGCAGAAATTGATATGTCTGGAATTGTAAAAATCATTGTTATTTTTATGATCTTTTTTTTGGTTTAGGGGCGAACAAACAGACAGGCCACCAGATGATAAGTAACTATTGCCTCCTATGGATATCAATCAAGGGGTTAGGGAAATCGGCCCGTCGGTAAAAATGTATTTAGTTTCTTTAATAAAATCCCAAATAGTATACAAGATTTTAGTATAAACAAATTTAAATCCACAATAAAACGTATATTTTGTCAGAAAGCTGTAATGAGTAAGACTCAATTGTGGATTACATAGAAGACAAGAATGCTTGGGATTAATTTAGCACAGGCTATTTCTTAGGGGAAATGTGATGTTAGCCTACATCACATTTCTTATATCTTTTATTTAATTTTCCATGTTTTTATGTTTTATACACTTTCTTTTTTATTTTATCTTTTTCTAAATCTTGTTTTCTCGTCATTGCCTATTAGTCCTTAAAACTTACATAATGGCACACATCAAAACAATGATGTGTATATTTACGTATGCCATTGTATGTACCTGTTAATAAAAAAAAGAGTGGCCATGAGTTTGTTTGCCCTTTCTTCTCATGACGCTCAACCCCTTGGAAATGGGCGGTTGTAGACCTCCACAGGCATGTAAAAGATTTTCGAGATGTATATATTTAGTTTGCTAAATATTTGACAAAACAGAGATTGTTGTGTGTGTTGATCTATGATTTTAGTTTACACAAGAGACGATTTAAATTAATTTCGATTTTTGTATGAAATAACGATATTTCGAGTTTGAGTAATATATGTCTAAGCAGAGGCGTAGCGTGCAATAATATTGACGTGGGCGAAATCGCATCGGGGAGGTCCTTTTTCTTTCGTTCCCTGTATCTACACAATATATCTATTCAACCGAACATGCTCTGACATGACATACCTACTTGTAATAGTGAAAAGGATGCGAGAGGAAGTTATTTTTCAAAAAGAACTACGTTGTAAAGCTTTTGGAGTTCATTTAGTACGGGTTTAGCAGCCTTTAGCAGTTCTGTTGTACGCATTTCTCTCCAGGGCTATCGATGGCTATCAGGGCTATCAGGGGGATCGAATTAATAAGTCATCTGTATTAAAATCTCGCGAGGCCCCTTCAAGTACGAGGCCGTGCCGGACGGCCACTTCTGTATCTATGTTTTTTCTGTATGTTTATCAGCAGTCTGGTTCTGTGTAGCTTAAGGCCAGAAGCCGTGTGTATGGTGTCTCAAATTTTTATAATAAGCTAAGGTAAAATTACAGATTAATATTACACAAGTTTTCACCTTGGGGGATCGCATCCAGTTTGACTGTACGCTTCTCTAAAGCCTTCTGCTTTTGCCAGATAATCAAACGCAGTTGTGGTCGGTTGGAGGGGCTCTGAAAGTCCTCGGCTGCTCTCCAGCAAGGCAAGTAAGGCCCCTCGCCAATGCACATCAACGGTAAATGTGCTGTTGGTTAATGACTTTGTAAGCTGGCTCACAGCTTCTGAAGCTTTTCTGGAACAATCAACAACAATGTACACTCACACTTATATTCGTGAAGGGTTAGGCAGAAGCGTATTAAAGTCTGTAAAAGTGTCTAGCTGTAAACTGAAAATAGAGGTGGCTGGCATACGAAAAACTACGAAATGAACACAGCTGTTGTAGACGGAATGAAGTGTGCTAAGTTAAAATATTAGGAAACTTTTATTGTCTGAAATTTATTACACGTTTATTTATTGTCTGTAAAACTCATTGACTATTTTCGTAGTCTAGTACACAGTGTCTAATTATTATTTAAGCAAATATAAATTTATCTTAGGCTACTGCAGCGCCACCCTTATGACGCGTTTTTACGGACACTTTTTAAACACAGAGATGCCTCCGCCCTCCATAGAAGACTACAAACAATTAACGACCTACAAACAGTTAACAATCTGTGACGTTGTTTTTCACAGAACAAATACTCTAAGTCTAGAAAATGTACTGCTTTGTCATTTAATAAATGAAACTAATTTGGCTTGGCAGTTAAATACCTATTTTATAATCATTGATGACTTACCTTTTCGCCACAATTACGTTCCATGGTCTTTTGAGCCAAACGCAGGGTTCCTCATCCATCCCTTTCCAGGTGCCATCACGACAAAGATACACGAAGTTCTGGTGACCCTAGGAGGGGAAAAATGACATATTAATGTATATATTCGATCCTCATTACTAAGCTGAAGGTGGTGGTTTCAAATCAGACCCAAAACAAATATAGTGATGAGCATGATCATTTGTTGTGACTGGCTGTTTTTTTATGTATACCAAGTTTTGTTTGTTCGGTTGAATGCACTAATCTCAGGAACTAGTTATTCTAATTGAAACATTATTTTGGTAAAAATAACTTCTTACTGATCTAATAATATCTTTGTGCTCCGATACCATTCTTAAATAGAATTAGATAGCTTATTTATCGAGGAAGTCTATAGGCTACATAACATTACGCCACGACATTTAGGAGCTGATCATTATTGAAACATGTTGCGAAAACTGTATAAATTTATTCCTTTTACAGACTGTACTGCGTAGACACGCAGACGTAGTCGCTGGATTAGTTAAAATATATGGAAACTTGGAATGCTTGGAATCAGACATCCGTGTACGAGATGTGTCAAGGTATTATTATTATCAACATTTGTATGGTTGTCCGGCTTGACAAACGAAAATGTATTACATTGGTTGTACACTCACCTTTAAATAAGTAGCGACATCAGCAGCCTCTCCCCAGGTCACATCGCCAGCACCTTCCAGGAGGCAGTTCAAGGCACCAGTGTCTCCATAATACGGATCGGCCTTTGAGCATGCCCTGAATTTGCAAGCAGCACAGAGTGAAGGGAATGCGCGCTCTAAAACAAAATGTGATAAACCAATGAAAATCTAAGATTTTGTCCAGGTCGAAAACCTCTTCCAAAAGCTTCATGATTGATGGAGCTAATAAATCTTAGAGACAGTAATTAAGTAAAATGTAGGTGCGACCTTTCATTCAGATGATGACCTGAAGAAAGTATCAAGGATGGTCTGGATGACGAAGGCACAGGACCAAAGGAAAGCCTCTTGACAGCTCGTTAGTAAATCATTCGTCAGTTATGACTCCGAATTTTCTCAGTACCAAGTGAGCCAGCAGGCTCACTCAGTAGGATCATCACTGTATGCGGGCCCATGTGACGTACCTACATCGTGAGAACATTATGGTTCTTTGATATTCGTTATCATCAGCCTATTGCCGTCCACTGCTTAATTTAATAAATTAAGTAAAATATATAAAAGTTAGTAAGTAGTAGTCTTGTCTTTTTACAGACAGACACGTCAAATTTATAACTTTCCGTCGCTTTTGCGTCGGGGGTTAAAAATCACTTTATACAAACAATAATTTTTTTGCTAGTCAAGTGCACTCCTTTAATTAGGAGGCCACAGCATGCACTAAAATGTTGGCTATTAACATTTAGCTTATAAATAAAAATTAAAAAACATATAAAAGACGCTCGGAACATGTAAAGAACAAGATAGAATAAAATAAAATGTGGAAACACAATTCACATCAAGATTAACAATATTTATAACCCAAAAAAATTCGTACAAACATTTTTTAAATTTCGATAAGGGCTATCCCATGAGCCTTCGACAACGCATTATATCGCTTACAGAGCCTGGGCATGGGAGCAAAGTGACCTAAATTTAGAGTGTGATACCATAAAAAAAGTTAAAAACTTGCTTCCTAGGAATGCGAGTTGGAATATTTATTCTCTTCGAGTTCAAAAGTTCGTTGCAAACTATGACTCAGTTAACTAGATTGAGGAGTATGTTAGATCGATCAATTATGATAATGAGAAATGTACGTTATTCCTGTATTATAAGGTTTGAAATTTAATTTTCTTGTATTTAACCATCTAGTGTATAATACTAATAACTAATATAACAGTACTTACTCAGCTCCGCGTCTCTTTCCTTGTCTGGGACCCAGGGTCCTGCTTTACATGCTTTACCGTAGAAGCCAGCTAACGATTTCAATTTATTCTCCGTGTTGGAGAGAGTCGGGTCACAGGATCTTTCCAGAACTAGAGTCTCCAAGTACTGGTGAAGAAAAACAGTTTTGATCGTTAATATGGTACATCTTAGTTCGGTAGTTGTCATAAGTAAAGACAAAATGGGATAGGTATTCTGTTCTTTCTAAGTTTGAACTTAGTGTTACATTGTTAAAAATTTAATATAAAATTAGAAGATCTCACAAAAAATACATCAACTCACCCCAGATAGAGTCTCACTGAGCGGCCTGAGTTCATCCATACTCTCTCCTGGATGACATAACGTGCTGTTCTGCAAAACAGCATGCAGGGTTGTGGAGCCTTCGGGGAGAATCCGTTTGTTGACCACGGCGACAATGTTTCTTGCGAACGGACCTAAAAACGAAAAGGAATTTGACTACTATTACTATTATTAAAAAACTTTTTTAATATCGGTTTTCTGTGAGGCTGTGGTATCACCATTTTACTGCCTCGGTGGCGCAGTGGTAGGTTCGACTCCCGGGTCGGACCAAATGCTTGTATGCTCTCCAAATATTTGATTCGGAGTTTGGGTGTTTTCTATGTATAATATATATGTATATCAGTCAATCTAGCTTTCATAGTACAAGCTCTGCTTAGTTTAAAACTAGATGGCGTTGTGTGTTAGATGTCCGAAATATTTTATTATTATGGCTCAGCCACGGGTATTTAATTTTATAGTGGTTAAGTTGTGGTCCCTCACATTGACCACTTTAAGGGGTTGAGTTCTCCACTTTCCATATCAATTACAGCATTTTTTTGTTAGATTAGCAAAACAATTGGTATATGGTACTCACGGTCTCTAAGCCTCAGTTCGTTGGTGACCAGGACATCAATATTAGCCCACTGAGCAGCGATAAGATCCTCAGGACTGAACACACCGAAATCCACAGTACCTTTGCTGATGCGCCGGAGACAATCCAACCTGGATTTTAAATAATTAACTTTAAAAAATCTCTTACTTTAAACTTTAACTTTTAACTTTAAAAACTCTTACTTTATTACACCTACATCACGTCAAATTTTAATAAACTTTATTCTTAATTCTCTCAATTTTCCATCTTCAGGGGTAATATTTTTTTATTTAAATTTAAATGGGCCCAAACCAATTAATTTAAATTTAAATGGGAAGTAAATGATGGAGTTTAGAAGCCCAATTTTCGTAACAAAAATTCGGTCATAATTCAGTTCTGTTCTACTCTAGATCTCACAAATGTTATAAAAGGTGTTCTCGTAGTAAAGTATTAAACATCAGCCGTGGACTGTAATGTTATTATATCGTATTATGACCGAAAGTTGATTTGGTATTCTGCTAGTTTAAGTAATAGTTTACTAGGTATTTTACGAGAACTGGCCTTCTGAGGTGTCAAAGATAAAAGAAAACAACGGCACTGGGAAACTCCTCCATGTTTTGAAGTTTGTCAAAACCACGATGTTATAGATAGGTACTAACTAATCATTATAATTTTGCCTTTAAATAAACTCAAAATTTCACAATCTTTAATCCTCCAAAAGTCCGGTGGCACACGGTAATAGATTTACTGCCTACTTAATGGAATCAAATTATAATCAGTAAAATGCGGGTTAATTTATTTATTTTTCAATTTTAGGAAAATTTAAAGCTAAATCAATATTACGTAGAGACAGAGTTGATACGAAATAAAGATGCCTATTAAAAGTATTCACAGATAACTGAATAAGTAAGTATAAATGTTAGAAGTAGACATTTAAACAAGCTTTTAAATAACAACATGTAAGCAAGAAATGTCCGTGTAGTGACGGATTAAGAATACGCAATGTCACTAATTAAGAATTAAGAAGAAGGATTAAGAATACCCCAATTCAACCCGTGGGTGTCGTAAGAGCCGACTAAGGTCGCAAAACAACGCTAGACACCAGCACTGCAAAAAGAAGGAAAACTTGACACAAACCCTATACCAACCCGTCTGGCCAGCGTGGTATAGTAGGCCAAAACCTCCTTTCTAAGGAGAGGCCTATGTCCAGCAGTGGACTATTAAAGGCTGTTGATGATGATGATTGATGAAGCAAGAAATAGACATAATTACATCTAGTTTCTAGACACAAAGAGAAGAAGAAGAGAAGAGTTACACATACTTTTTCTGTATTAGTTACAACTATAATATATACAACGGATTATGAATACGGCGTGTCACCATCCCTATTCATCCCGTGGGTGTCGTAAGAGCCGACTAAGAAAGTAAACTACGCAGGATAACAGCACTGCAGAGAGAAGGAAAACTTGCAACAAACCCTATACCAACCCGTCTGGCCAACGTGGTATATTAGGCCAAAACCTCTTTTATGAAGAGAAGCCCATGTCTAGCAATGGACTATTAAAGGCTGTTGATGATTCATGAATTAGGAATTATTGGTGAAAGGTATTACCTGTCGGTGCCCAGCACACATTCAACTCCAGATTTCTCGCTATCCAAGACGGGACAGTACATAGCAGCGCGTTTGTACGTCCCTCGACCCTCAATCACGCAGAGACGAACTGTGAATAAAAAATACAATGGCTTTTTACTAAATTCATTTGAATTTTAAACCTATGTCAAAGAAATCTTTTTTTAAATATTTTATTCTCCGAAACGAGTGAACTGAACCCCGAGTGTGAGTATTTCAGGCCTACTCGATCGTCACGGTGATCACATTCGACGCTGTGATTGGCCCACGCTGAAATATTAACCAATCGCAACGCCGCACGCGCTCACAGTCGAGAGTGAGTTGATGTGATATAAACTCGCACTTGGACCTCCAATGACCAATTTTTTTTTTTTTAAAGATAACTCGCGCATTAGGAATATATCCTGAGGCGTGGGGGACTTTACAAACATACATGGAACGGAGACAAAGAACACCCATACTTAAAACATACTTAACAAATTGTGGATCACACAAAGTGTCGTCTTATGTGGGGTTTGAACCCACAACACTCGGCGCAGTAGAAAACGGCGTGGCGACCGCTTAAACCACTACGCCATCCGTGCAGTCCCCTCGTAATACTGAGGCAGAGCACTCAAAGGGCGACAACGCACCAGTGATTATTGAATCGTAGGTGTTCATAGGCGGCGGTAGTGAGTTACCATCAGGTGACCCAGTTCGTTTGCCACCCAATACCATAAAAATATTTTAAAAGAAGTCCACAGGCTTCTCTTTAATAATCAATTAAAAGATATGTGGCAAGCTCTCATTGCCTACACTAAACAAATTGCTCACACCTATACGTATTTGACCTAAATAATAAAACAATAATTATATAAATTATCTGTCTGTTCATGTATTTTGACATGAATAAGATGATAGATATTAGTATTCGTGGGTGTATGGCTTTTAAGATAATATCTATATTTTGTTATAAACTAGATATTGCCCGCAGCTGCCCACGCATGATTCGTTTTAACGTTTCATTCGTGTTTCTAACTTTAAAAATAACAAACTCCCTTCATCCCTTATTTTAAAATATCCTTTTATACGTACTTACAACATAAAAGCATTAGCAAAGCAGCTAAAATTAAAAGATTGTAGCCTCAGCTGTTTAGGATCTGTCAGTCAGGGCAAGTGATTATATATGTATGGATAAAAATGTTTAATAATAATATTCTACCACATTCACACAACGCCATCTAGTCCCAAACTAAGCAGAGCTTGTACTATGGGTACTAGACAACTGATATAAATACATATACCTATACTTTTTTTGTAAATTTCTCTCTTTTGATCTATATAACATAACTCACACATACATACACACACACACACACACACACACACACACACACACACACACACATACATTCATACACACACATACATACTCTTTCACACACACTTCAATAACCAAGTCTAAACATTTCCACCAATAGCAACAATTACTACAAGACTCAAGGAAATGAGATCTCGGTTGAACACTGCCTCTTAAGATACAGACCATGCCTAGTTTAAGAGTCAGGGATCACTACCTTCCTTTGAGACCTATACAGCTAATGTAAAAATTATGTAACTACTGTAAATATTTGTGGAAATAAATAAATATTATTATTAAATACATACATACACATAGAAACACCCTCACCAAGTCAAACATTAAACGTTAATCCACACAAATGTTTGACTTGATCATCGAACCCGGACCTTTAGCGCAGCGGTCCGTTACACAAACCAATACGCCATCCGGCCGTTTCTTTTTTTAATCGCAACCGATGATCATATTTGTATGCAAGGTTGTCAGTTTAAGGTTACGAGTTTTAGATATGTATCTTGATTTACTTGAGCTATTACTTATATCTCCCAATCCAGTCGTATAAGCAATATCCTTCTCCTACCCTTACACACACACACACATAAAACACACACACACATACACTCACACACAAACATACTCGTACACACGCAAACATATACAAATATCCACGGTTAAACACAGCGTTGACAGCATTACTGTAACTTTAATATTGGGGGCTCTGAATTACAGGCCAAGGCTTAGTTTAGACTCCAGACCGCCCACAAATTAATAATAATAATAATAATAAAATAAATAAAAATACTAAATTTTTATTTAAATTTTAATTTTTTATTTTGCCCTTAAATACCATCTTGTGAATCTAGAGGTGCCATACTATAGGTATGTGCCCGACCCAGTTCTCGAGAATGGTCGGGCCACGTTGTATTGGGATCGATCTATTATCACAGACAGGACTATTGTTGCCAATAAGCCTGATATTGTGTTGATAGATCGATTAGAGCGTCGCGCAATGATTGTTGATATCGCCGTTCCTCATGACGAGAATCTCGTGAAAGTTGAAAAAGAAAAACAAATTAAATATTTGGATTTATCTCACGAGATTGTCGATATGTGGAATGTTGATTCAGTGATCATTGTTCCGATGGTCGTATCTGCTCATGGATTGATAGCCAAGAGCCTCGACCAACACCTTAAGAGGCTCACGTTGGATGGCTGGATCAAGGGTCTGATGCAGAAGGCAGTCCTCCTTGACACGGCTCGTATAGTGAGGAGGTTCCTATCTTTGGAGTCCTAACCACCGGTGTCTTGGTCCCTGTACCCGATGTCGGTGGTCTACTATTTTTTATATTTTTAAATGTATTTTTTTTATATAGTGTATATTTAAAAATGTAAATAATATGTATATAAAGTAAATAAAGAGAATAATAATAATAATGTTTTTATTACTCAATAAAGTTACATATTATAAAACAGAAATGAGGTTCATATAAATTATGTACTACTGTTAGTAAACGCTGATCTCTAAACTAGGTTTAGTACCTGTATTTTAGAAATCAGTGCCCCTGTTGTTTTTGATAAAATACTAAGCCATATACATTATGTTGAGATCAAAAAACAAAAAAGAACAATAACATTTAAGAAAATAGTAAGGAAAAGGGTTAGTTGATGTGTGTGTACTAATGTGTGTTCGAGTTTATGTATGTGTGAGGTGTGGGTGTGTACGCGCATGAGTGTATGTGCGTGTATATATGTAAGTGTGATCATGTGTGTATGCGTATGATTTACTATTTCAAGCGTCCCAGCAGAAGATCCTCAGTGTTACGATAATCTAATTTAAGTAGAAATTCTTTGAGTATATTTTTACATTGGTATTTATTTTTTGAATATATACCAAGAACTTTATTTAGGTAGTTATATAACATTATACTATTGACATGGTTTTGTCTCTTAGCGAAAGAAGTTCTGTGCATCTCCAAGGGAAAAATCCTGTACTTAAGTCTTCCAGCAGGCTCTGTAGGAGGACGAGACGAGTGTTTACGAATCACACATTGTAGGACATAGAGCTGTCTGACAGTTAAAAGATTGCATTCTGCATAAAGAAGTTTAGTGGGATATCTGAGTGGTCGCGAATACATAACTTTCAGGACTGCCCTCTGAGCTCTCTCCAGTCGAATGAAGACTGTTTCTGTGGCTCCACCCCAAACCGGTACACAATAGCTTAAAACTGATTGACACAAGGCAAAGTAAACGATTCTTAGCGTATCCAGATCTGCCGAATTACGCAGTTTTTTGAAGATATAGATTAACTTGCGAGTTCTATTTGAGAGTAAACTAATGTGTTTTTGCCAATTTAGATATTGATCTATATATACCCCCAAGTATTTGACATGATCAGCTTTAGTTACTGTTAGACAGTCGCAGTTTGCAGAGGTTATGCATGTATGAGCTTTCAAGGAAAGAGAGCTTGGAGGCAGTGAATTTGATCTAATGGCAAACGGTATATATGTAGTTTTATTAAAATTTAGGGTAAGTAAGTTATTGTTCAGCCATAGCATTACATATGAGACTGCGGCCTCAGCGTTATGGTAGCACTGGGCCCAATCCTCTCCATCGACTACAAGCGCTGTATCGTCGGCATATGTGAAAATTTTGCAATGTTGGACCGGGAGTTTACATAAGTCATTAATGTAGATGAGGAAGAGAATTGGCCCCAATATGCTTCCCTGGGGGACGCCGTAAGAGATTGTAAGCTCATCACTCAAACATTCCCCAATCTTGGTAACCTGGGTTCGATTCTTGAGATAGTCATCAAACATATCCAATACAAGGCCTCTGATTCCAATGCTTTCCAATTTTCGCATTAAAATCCACGCTGGGACGGTATCAAAGGCCTTAGATAAGTCTAGGAAAATACCAAGACTCTTTTGCTTTTTATCAAGCGTCTTTGCTACGTGATGAGTTAGACCTATGACTGCGTCCTCAGTGCTCAAATCCGATCTAAAGCCAAATTGATTATTAGCAAGAACATTATTTGATTCTAGGTAGCTAATAAGGCTTTTACTTAGAATTCTCTCAAGGATCTTTGATAAGGCTGAGAGAATGGAAATTGGCCTATAATTGTTGACATCATCCTTGCACCCAGCCTTATATATTGGGTGAACCAATGCTTTTTTAAATGAATTTGGAAAGTTACCTGATGAAATTGAGATATTGCAGACATGAGTAATTATGGGGACCAGAATATTTTTGCTACTTTTAAGTATACGTGCAGGGATACCATCCCAGCCTGTGGCAGAGTCAGATCTAAGGTTTAAAATAATTGCTTCAACATCTTCTTCGTTCGCCTCGAGGAGAACCATTGAACCACCCGAGCGGGAAGGAAGGATTGGGGGTATTGTTATCGCGGTAGTTAATGTTATATTACTTGCCAGCTGTTTACCGACGTTGGCGAAGAAGTCATTTACAAAATTAAGAGATGCTTCTGGAGTATTGCAAACTTGTAATAGTTCGGTTGGGGGAGCACAAACAGAACGCAAATCGGACACTTTTTTTATCACTTCCCATGTAGCTTTCGGATTATTTTTAGCTTTGGCAAATTCTACCTTTTCATACTCCCATTTAATTTTCTTTAATAAAGAATTACAAAAATTACGATATCTAGTATATGATACTCTAAGTGTTACATTATCTTTAGATTGTTTTAGCTTAGCATGCATGCGGTCGCGGTGTCGAATACAGCGCAAAAGTCCCGG